GGGAAACAAAAAGATGATTTTGATTATTGATTTCCCCCCCCCCCCCCACCCAGGATTTGGTGTAAAAGAGGATAGAAAGGGCCATTCGAGAATTTAAAATTGATACAACGTTGTTTTTGGAGGGTAGGGGCTGTTAGGGTTTCAGATAATGCCTCATCATAACCATTGATTTTGATTGAGAAAAAAATTTCAACACCCGCTGAACAAGACTTGCTTACGATGAGTACTATTGAGTAATCTATAAAAGTTAATTTAAAATTTTGAAATACTCAACATACAATTATAAATTAATTAAAACTTTAAAAATAAATTATTTAAAACAAAATATTAATTACATTATTCTTTATAATTTTTTAAAAATTATGAAAAATAATATATTTAGCATTTTATTTTAAATAATTTAATTTTAAAGTTTTAACTATTTATAATTATACGTTAAGTTCACTAATTTTAAATTTTTTTGAATTAGATTAACGATATTCAACGATGCTCATTGTTAGTGATACTCAACGGTACTCGTCGAATGTGAAGGACTTGTCCTTTTGATTGATAACTTTTATCAAGTCAACGTTAATATGTAATAGGTTATTATTGCTCTCCAATCATTTTCTCATATAGTTAAAATACAATTATGAAATAATAAAATATATATCCTTATTTGATATATCAATGATACCTTTTTATTCACAATTGACTTTAATTCCTAATAAACAAATGTTTAGTTAAATACTAATTAAATTGTCATAAAATGCTTGCATTGCTCAAAACATTTCACAAATCAATACTGCAAAAGTGTAAAAGCGCTTCAAGGAACACTGAAGAAGCTTGACTGCTACGGTTTTGATCTCCAGAGTTTCCAACTTCCTCGGGTTCGGAAAGGAGAAGCCCCGCCTGGTCTCTAATTTTTTGCCTGAAACTTTGGTATAGAACACTCTTTTCTTGAATAAATTGTTTGGGATACCAGCGAAATCATACACAGCTTGTCAAAAGCTCATTGATGGCGGGAAATGCATTTGTTGGGCAGCTGAAAACAGCCGACAAAGACTTAAAAGTTCCACCGGTCCAACTGCCGCTTGGCTTCTACCATATCTTTCTGTGCTTTCTTCCTCCGGTAAAATATTGGACAATCCCGACTGCAAAGATGATAAAACATAGTTTATACCTAAAATAAAGAAGAAAGGATGAAGCAACAAAATTTCATCACACTTGTCTAAAGCACGCGCCTGACATTCCCTTTCTTTTCTAAATAAAACACATTATCTTCATGGTTCTGCATTACGGAAAATAGAATTGTAAACAGATATAAACTGAACAAGGAAGAGAGTGGATATAAGTGGACACCTCATCCCGAGCTCTTGAGTTTAATGCAGGTGAGCGAGATCTATGCCTGCTCCTGTGGCGGTGATCAGATGGAGAAACTGACCGATCATGTCTTCCTATGCTAGACTTGTTATCCATATCATCTTGTCCCGACCGTCTATCATTCCTGTCACTCCCCATTTCTCTCTCCGTGCCCCTTCCCCTCTCAGATGTCCTTTCCTTCCCTGAAGCTCTATCCTTTATGTGCACTCTTCTCACTACCCCTACTATGATTTCTCTCATGCTCCCTCTCATTCACTTTCTCAACATCCTTTTCATCCTGTGCCTTCCTCAGCCTCTTTGTCATGGGAGATGGAGAGCGTGAACTCGGATGTTTTGGAGACTTCGTATTGCCAGAACGTTTCTCTCTTTCCAAAGAATGATCACCGTGGGACCTCCTATGCCGAGAAGGAGACTTTTCTCTTATAGGATGTCTTTCTGGTGATCTCTCTCTATAAGATGGACTCCTATGAGGAAACCCCACCTCCTAACTGGAGACACAAACTGGTAGGACGAATTGCGTCCCATTCTGTTGCCAATGAAAGTCTGCCAACAGGTTTAGACTGAAATATGTAACATTGATTCAGCTATTGAGAATAGATTATAAGCATCGATGCTATATAAGATTATGATGTGGGGGACCCGTGGTACCTTTATATGGTTTCTCATGTAATTTTCCACTACCAAGTCAACAATTTTAAAAACAACATGAGAAACCATAATAAGAGTATGTTTGTTTGACTGTAATTGGTTTTTTTGAAAAATGAATTATTGAAATTTGAATTACTGAAACTGAAAAATGAATTATTGGAATTTGAATTCTGGAAAATGAATTATATTTCTGGAAAAGGTTTTCCGGAAAATATTTTCCGTAAAATGAATTACATTTTTCTGAAAAACATCTGAAAAACGTTTTATTATATTTGGAAGATGTTATTTAAACTTTTTTTTTCTACTAGTTGAAGAGTTTTTTTTTAAATTATTTATTACAAATATTAAATATAATAAATAATATTATTTATCATAAAACTTAATATTATTATTTTAAAATATTAAAATAATTTATTTATTATTAAATATTATTTTTATAATTTTATTAATAAAAATATTAATATTGGTATATTTTAGTGAAATAAAATATTATAAATTATATTAATTATTTATTAAAGTAATAGTGTTATATTATATTTTAAAAATATTAATTAGTATATTTTAAATATCTTTATTAAAATATTATTTAAATATATAAATAATATTATTCATTATTAAATATATAAAACATTATTATATATTATTAAAATAAAAATATAATATCTTATATTATTATAATATAATTGATTATTTTATATAATATTAAAAATATAATATTATATTATTATAAATATTAATAAATATATTTTAAATATTTTAATAATTAATATTTTGATGAAAATTATATTAAAATATTTTATTAATATTAAATTCATAAAATAAAATTAGTTTGAGTATTTATACTTTGAAGTGAAAAGTTCAGAAAATGACTTACGGAAAATGAATCTGTAAGTCATTTTATAGAAAACACAAAGGAAATTCTAGTTATTAGGAAAATGAATTACGTTCCGGAAAACGAATTACGTGAAATAAACACGGGAAAATATTTTCCGAAAAACGAATTACGTGAAACAAATACGGGAAAATATTTTCCGAAAAACGAATTACATGAAATAAACAAGAGATTTCGGGGAAAACTAATTTCGTAATTGGTTTTACGACAAACAAACACACCTAGGGAAATAGTTTCAACCATTGCAATATAACGTGAAAAAGTTAAAATACTTCAACAACATTACAACATAAGCCTAAGAAAATAGTTTAAGAGTCAGATAGCCTTGATTAGTAAGCACAAATATGGTTCTGAAGACTAAAATTAAAAAAAAGAAACATAAATAACTCGGTTACAGAGAAATTAATAAAAATTACAACAAACAAAACAATAAACAGAACTGTCTAAGCTAGAACACTGAAGCACCACCAATCACTGTATATTAAATGATCAAAAATAGGCAAAATAAATAATACCCAGACTGGGAAATGTCAAAAAATATATAAAAACAATAATTTATTCGAAAATAATAGCAATGAGAACATATTTTACAACCAAAATGAAAAAAAAATGCTTGGACCACGCTCAAAATAATAAAAAATTATTTTTATTCGATAAAAATAGTGATTTAATTAAAAAATAATATAAAGGTATTATTGTAATTATTCTTAAATATATCAGGTAAAATTATATATATTTTTTCGGATCAGGTCGGATATTTTTCATTCTAAACCCAATACGATTCAACTCGACCCGAGCTGACCAACCCGATTTTTTTTAAAAATCCAACTCGATCGTGTTGGGTCTGATCGGAACCCATCGGATTCGAGTCTCATTCCCATCCCTATGCTTACCAGAAAAAAAAAACTGTTTGATGCTAAATCGTAGTGAGGTTTCAGAAACAGAAGAAGAACAAAGGGAAGAGAAGTGCAGACTTTGAGAAGGGTTTTGGAGCCACAAAGGAGTGGAGGAGAAAGAAACAGAGGTAAAGCCCATCCAAAAAGTAAGAATCAATATCCAATATAAAGCACATCCAAACTTGACAGTAATTTATCGTATTAATGTAATAGAGATTTTTTCAAGCCAACAAACTTTTTTATATTAAAAATTTTTAGTTACCGATTAAAAATATTTTTTTCAATTGAATTGATACTCAATTAATATATAACATTAATTTAATCAAAAATAAAGTATATAAAAATATAAATATCAAAATGTAAATGGATTAGGATATTTCATGCTTTAAAAAATTAGAGTAATGTTTTGACTATAAAATTTATATTAACTATATTGATAAAAATAGGGATGGTTATGGGTCGGGATTTTGGTCCACCCGACCCGACCAAACCAAAACAAGATTTCACCCGACCCGACCGACCCGAAATAATAATAAAAATATTATTTTATTCAATAAAAATAATGACTTAATTGAAAAAAATAATATATAGAGGGGTATTAGTGTAATTATTCATAAATATATAAGGTAAAATTATTTTTTTCGGGTCGAGTATGGTCGGATATTTTTCATCCTAAATCCGAACCCAACTCGACCCTGAATTTTTTTTAAAATAACATACCCAATAGGGTCGAGTCGGGTCGAAACCCGTCGGATTCGGGTCCCATGCCCACCCCTATATAAAAAGTATAAAAATTTTATATTAATTGTATATTGATACAAATTATATTTTTATGAAAAAAATATACAAAATATATTTTGAATTGAAATTTGACACAAACATAATATAATAAAATAACTGATATATGACGTGATATATAATGTAAAAAGGGCAGATTGATAATAAAAGAATTGTTTGAAGGGGGAATGAGAAAACGAATAACTTTGAGGATAATATGTATATTTTACCATAATTAAGACGATAGAAACGAAAAACGGTTTATTTTTATAATATTTTTCCTTTTTGTGGAGTATGAGCCAACCAAAAACAAATTTCCAATTATGAAAATGTTGCTAAGATAGTAATATGCCGATTGTTTTATATATTAATTGAGCTGCACCGACTTTCTCAAGCGAAAAAGAGCCCACCCAAATTTTACAATTGAAATTCTCAAGAATATGGCCGCCGCAGCCACTAGCACCGCCGCTCTCCGCCCACGCAATCCCTTTTTCTCTTCTTCTGTCTATTCCTCCTCGAAATTTCCTGTCAATATCAACAAAGTTGAGCCTCTGACGTCGCCTGTGAAAAAATTTTCAATTTATTGTACGTTGACTAGAGAAGCGGTCCCAGCTGATACGCTTCCCATGGATTCGGACCCGAACGGATGGCAACGACCGGACTCGTTCGGTCGGTTTGGAAAGTTTGGTGGGAAATACGTTCCCGAGACTCTAATGTCTGCCCTTTCTGAGCTGGAAACGGCGTTTCATTCTCTCTCTAAAGACGACAAATTTCAGGTTATTTTCGTAATGACTTCATTATATTTATGCACATTGTTATTCCTATGTAATTATGATGCGTATTTTCCATAGTTGAATCAGGCCTTCTGCGTGCACGTGTGTTTGTTCATATGATTTAAAAAAAAAAATGTATTTGGTTGTTTTACAATGAGTCTCTAATTAGTAAAACGATGAAAATTGAAAATTTATTGACTTCGATTAAAAGAGGGAATGTTTTTCTTTTCCATATTTATTTTAGATTTTGATAGCTATATATTTGATATTGACTTCAATTTTCATGAAAAGAAAAGAAAAAAAAACAAGACAAAAAATACTTCATTCATCCCATTATTTTTGTCCCATGTTGACTAAACATAAAGTTTAGAAGGATAAGTTTGATCTCATGTTAAGTTATATAAATATAAAATGAGGAAAATGAAAAAAATTATCCCTAAAATGTGTGATAGATTTCACATATTTGTTTTGATAGGTATAAAAAATTGAGACATAAGGGCAAAAATAAAATATAAATATTAAAAACCAAAAGGGTCAAATTTAGCGGGACTGAGGGATTAATTTTTATTCTAAAGTTCAATTTTTTTGAATGATTAAGAAAATGTTGGTTATATTTGATTTGACAATACTTTTTAGCATTGTTGGCCCCTATTTAAGCAAGTTATTACTTTTTTTAAATAATTTCCCTTCTAAAAATAATGAGAAGAAGAATTTGTCAAAAAGCAGAGAAGTGGTAAGTAAAGAGTCCTTCTAAAGAATTTGAGCTTTCAAATAAAGATATGAAAAAGCCCTTTGAAAGAATTTTTACTTTGGTGCTGAATGTGGTGATTTTGTGGAATGGTGTTAATGATTTTCAGGAAGAACTAGCTGGGGTTTTGAAAGACTATGTTGGCCGGGAAAGTCCACTCTATTTTGCAGAGCGGTTGTCTGAACATTACAAGCGTCCTAATGGCGAAGGGCCTGATATCTATCTAAAGAGAGAGGATCTTAACCATACTGGTGCTCATAAGATCAATAATGCCGTTGCGCAAGCATTGCTAGCTAAACATTTGGGCAAGAAACGAATTATTGCTGAAACCGGGGCTGGTCAGCATGGTGTTGCGACAGCTACTGTGTGTGCACGGTTTGGTTTGCAGTGCATTGTTTACATGGGTGCCCAAGATATGGAAAGACAGGAGCTTAATGTTTTCAGAATGCGGCTTCTTGGTGCAGAGGTAAATGAGACACCATTTGTTATACATTGTTAGAATATAGGCCTTCTCTCTGGATTGGCTGATTTCAAATTGTATTGTTTATCATATAGGTTAGAGCAGTTCACTCGGGTACTGCAACACTAAAAGATGCCACTTCGGAAGCTATCCGGGATTGGGTGACTAATGTGGAGACAAGTCATTATATTTTGGGATCTGTTGCTGGTCCACATCCATATCCTATGATGGTGAGGGAGTTCCATGGAGTGATTGGCGTAGAAACAAGAAAACAAGCGCTGGAAAAATGGGGAGGGAAACCAGATGTATTGGTTGCATGTGTTGGTGGAGGTTCAAATGCAATGGGACTTTTCCATGAGTTTGTTGATGACAAGGATGTTCGGTTGATTGGGGTGGAGGCTGCTGGTTTTGGTTTGGATAGCGGCAAGCATGCTGCTACTTTGACCAAGGGAGAAGTGGGAGTTCTGCATGGAGCTATGAGTTACTTATTGCAGGATGAAGATGGGCAAATAGTTGAACCTCATTCCATTAGCGCAGGGTAAAGCTTATTTTATAATGAATTTGTTCATTTTTTATGTGGCTTGCTTTGAATGGCATGGAAACCTTTTGTTTTGGCTATACAGCTTGGATTATCCTGGAGTTGGACCCGAGCACAGTTTTCTGAAAGATGTAGGGCGAGCTGAGTACCACAGTGTCACAGATGAAGAAGCATTGGAAGGTATGAAACAATCCAATTGCTTTTGATGCTTCATCCTGTCGTATCTGATCGTGACTACTGCCTTTTGTTTGGTTTTCTATAAGAAATTGATTAATTGCAGAGGCACAACATTGCTTTCAACTTTTTTTAATGGCATCTTAAACCTTATAAGGCTATATGACTCACTGATTGCTTCATCCAATGCATCTAGAATCTCCACCTCTCTCTTGCAACAGTTTATTTTCGGTTCTTCATCACGGGCTGTTGATTTATCACTTTCTCCTTCAAAATTATTTTGCCTGATAACCTTGTACATGAAATGTTCTTGAAGGAGGAGCTGTTTCTCTTGCATCCTTTTCTCATTTTATACAGACATTTACACTTACATAACCTGTTGTCATATCTGTAACTAAGTAATTGGAGATGCGCAGCTTTCAAGAGATTATCTCGACTGGAGGGCATAATCCCGGCACTCGAGACATCTCATGCGCTGGCTTATTTGGAGAAGCTGTGCCCGACTCTACCAAATGGTACCAAAGTTGTGGTTAACTGCAGTGGCAGAGGCGATAAAGATGTTCATACTGCAATCAAGTATTTGAAGGTATAATTATGGTGGTGTCATTACTCTTTCTTCATCCCATTAAATAAATGGGTTACAGCCATGAGCCATGCCTTCACAGTCTTCTTTTTCGGTGTTTACTTGCTTCTCTTAACTTATATGCTAATAATATATGGAGGATACAATTCAATATTTAGAATGTGATATTATTCCATTTTTGATTTCATTGCTTACAATTTAGATCTTTCCTCATGCCGGATCACGGTCCATAATTTTGCTATCCTGTTACCTGGGCCTGGTTGGTGGTTCAAATTTATATAGTCATTTTGATTAAAATTAAAATATCAAGATTTTTTTTTTAAAATAGGGACGTATATTGCATTAGCAGGCATCATTTACAGTAATATTGGATATACATCCAGGATAATCATAAATAAAATATAACATTGATCCAGGATAATCATAAATAAAATATAAACATCGAACGAGTAGTGAAAGTCAGATGATTAAAAGCATATATTATTGAGACAACGACATTCAGAGGCATATCAGTACAACATCTTCAAACAACAAACATAGAGGAGTATAATATGAAAAGTATCAAAGGTGGACGAATAAAAAATTAATTTTCCGTTAATCACAGCTTCATCCTATCATTACAAAAAGAATTTAAAAAAAAAGAACCGAAAGAAAATATTATTAAAAAATAACTAAATAATAACAAAAACGAAACAATTGACTGAAAAATAAAAAAGAACAAGTAGACTGGTCTGGCAAAGCCACCACGGTACCACCACCGCTGCCCTCAGAGTCAAAAACTGGTGTAACTTCCTAAATGCAAAATAACTACTACAGAGAAAGGTAAGATTTGAAAATTGTGTTTTGACAAAAATATTTTAAATAGTGATAAATATTAAGAGTTAAATATATATATATATATATTAAAATAAAAACTAAAATAATTGTTCAATCGATTGTGTCGAAAGGAAAGTAAAAAGTCTCGAAGGGACCTATCCAGGGTAAGGTCACAATCAGGAGGTGTTGATTGCTAGGCAATGGACGGTTATGAATTAAAGATTTCTTTGAATCCATTATTTTGCCTGAAAAAATATATATTTTTATTCTTGTGAGCGGCCAATATCAAACTTCCAATAATAGTTAAACATAGAGCAAACAGATGATTTCGAGATCACGGAGGCCACTGTACGGCGTCAAAATGATAGGCAAATTTATTCATGCAGGGCAGATTTTTTTCGTATAAAGCTCTTACCATATTATTTTTTGAATTAAACTATTGTTATTATGTCAATGTAAAGACGACAGGAACCAACTGATTAGTTTTTCCAAACAAGATGCATGAAAATACAAAGCAAAGAAAACATAGTCGTGATGAAGAAGATGCATTGTGATCCATGTGTCCTTCAAAAAAATTAAAATCACGTGATATTTTGACGTATTCCCATCAACACTGCCGCACTATGTATAATATGGAAAGAGCCTTATATGGGAAAAAAATTTCCCACTTCCCTACCTAAGTAAAACTGCCAAAATGATCTGTAGTAGTCTTCACTCTTTCACCTAAGCAGAACACCCCGCATGGTCATTTCAAAATTATTCATTATTGTTGGTTGAATATATATGTTGCTAAGGCAAATACAGTGAAATATTGCAGAAATAAAGATCTTAGTTAATGAGATTGATTCGAGTTTTTTAGAGTCCTTTAAAATCGTTCAATGAATGATAAATAAAAGGGGACATGATCACGCTCAATGAATGATAAATAAAAGGGAGACATGATCACATGCTTTCTCTTTTAGATCAAATCTTTTTAATGTGGACCGTAAGCTATGCTTCTAGGCCAACCCCAACCCCCTAGGGTATCCAACATGAATTTTAGTTTTTTTCTTCATTTTTAATGTATTTTTGATGATCATATCTTCACAAATATATTCTCAAATACATGGTTTTCAGAATCGGACCGGTTCATTGGTTTTCAGAATCGGACCGGTTTACTGGTTCAATCAGTCGAACCGGTCAGATCGGTCGAAAGAACCGAACGAAGTCATAATTATTTAAAAAATTAAATAAAAATATCAAAAATATTTAATAAAAAACTAAAAATATCCCCACAACTATAATACTTAAATACAACACCAAAATTTCATCATTCATTACTTGATTTACTTCTAATAAAAATCTCCAAACATTACAAATTAAAACCAAAACAAAAGTCGATTAACCTTCAAAATAAAAGTCGAAATATCCTAGAAATAAAAATAAAGAAAACTAAAAAACTGAAAACGAAAAGGCTAGAAACGAAAATCGAAAAGGCGAAAAACAGTTTTTTAACTTTTTTAATTTTTTTATTGATGGCCGATTCTTAGCAGTTCACTCCGGGTCCGGTTCGAACGGTTCACAACCGATTCAACGGTTCACTAGTAGCGGTTTAACCGGGATAGAATAAACAGGACCAGACAGCGATTCTCGGTTGAACCGGCCGGTCCGGTTTTCAAAACCTTGCTCAAATACGAATTTCAGACACAAATATTTAATTAAATACAAGTTCAAATCATGATATTTGCAAATAGAGTAAATTTAGAATGTCACTCTCATGAGTCTCTGCAAAACCTGATACAAAATAGTCGATCAATAGATCGGATACCGGTGGTTAAACCAATAAAAACAAGACCAAAATGAAGAAATACATTGCTCATGTCTGCCGACGTACACAAGGCTCACAACATTAAATCTTGTTTATTCAGACTGATCCCTAGCAGCCACATCCAAATATAGATAAAGAAACATGCCTAATTCACCGTATGAACATCATATATAATCACCATTGTTATACAATATGACAAGCTGGTACACGAAAATCCAGCAATCATCATATGAAAGACGCTAAGCTTATTAACTAATCCGAGCTAGTTTTTCCCTTTCATCAGCTGTGTTTTACATGATGAATTGAAAATCTTGAGGCCCCGGCTTTCTCATGCTTTTGCCTGCAAAAGATATCACTCAAGATTAGGAGAAGCAGGAACCGATCATTCTCGGCATAAGATACTGCTAATTAAGAATTACAGAACTGTGTTTAGGAGAAGAAATCAAGCATATTCTCAAATTCTATAGAATGAAATGGTGGAATTTGTCGAAAGCATCTTTGACTAAAGCTCACAAGAATAAACCATCAACTGATCCAATATTCCCATTAGACGTCTTCAGTTAGGAGGACAGGTTCAGATAACTCAACTGATTCATTGAAGCCACCAACCACCGAAAGATGTCAACTGCCATATTGGCAGCCAGTATCGGTCTGCCCCGGTGTCAACATCTATGGAGTATAATTCACTACTAACTACAAAACTGCACTTGACCCTTAATAATCGGTAAATCATATGCCCTCAACTATTGTAGATTCAAAAGAAATATAAAATTTTAAACCACAAAAATCTTGTAGGAGGCACTGAGTAGGTTTAGATGTTAAAACGATGGGCCAACAAACCGATAAAAAAACCCTAAACCTGAAGATTTTTGAGAAGTAGACCATTAATGAACAAATTGTCGGATGCAATAGGCAAAAATGAACATACAAGTCATATGAAGTATGTTGTTCAAAAAATAATGAAAAATACTAACCTGAGAATACAAGAAGGTTCCAAGGATGGCAATGGCAGCTCCAAGAGCATTGATGGGTTGGACAGGTGTGTGGAAGATGATGATGGATGAGACTATAACGGAAATACGTTTCATGGTGTTACCAATGCTAAATGTCAAGGGAGAGATCTGATCAAGGGACATGTAGGAGACTTGGTTGTAGAGATGATAGAAAATACTCTGTGCTGCCACCCACCTATCAAATACGTAAAGTCCATGAACAAATTGTTAGCAAACAGGAAGAAGTAAAAATATTATGAATCGATACAATTAGATTTCATGTACATAAAGAGGTTCTAGTGGTTCAAAATTTATAGAAGAAAAGAAATGAAGTGGTTTTCAAAGCATCTAGAAGAGTCAAACAAATAAATGCAGAAAACATTAAGTGGAAGGAAAAATAACAAGGAATTGAGATTTATTACTGCCATATAATTACCAGACGAACTGTGGTCCAATTTCAGATAAGGCCTTTTCCCATCCTGCAGCCCACAACTGCGGTCCCTCTACGGCAATCGCAAAAGGTGTGAGTATCAGAAGCGACAACATAGATAAACAAGCGTAGTAGTTCATCCCGCTAACGGATTTCCCTTTCATGCCTTTCTTGGAGAATATGTTACGGAAGACAAATGCCAAGTTCGATATCATAGCACCCATAAAACCTGAAATACACAAAGAACAACCAAGTCCACACTCCGGTGACCACCCGTAAAATGAAATTGTTTAAAATCACAATCTCAACCTCAGCTCAAGTCCTCAAACTGAAAACAAGACCATGGAAACTGAAACACATTGTAAAGAAACATATGAATCGGAATTATGGTGGCCACATATTGAATCTTTTTGGGTTTGGATGTTAAGAAAACTGAGGTAACACCAAAAGTTTATCGAAAAAGGGCAACTTAGTGAACTCTGTTCCAAATAATGGGATATTTACCTAATAAAGAACACATATGGAGAGGATTAGAACATAGAAGAACCAATTCAACAACAACTTTAATAAGGATTAAAACTTCAAAGTAACAACTCAATATCCATACCGAGAGATTAAGTTTACTTTACCAGTCATATTGAAGTTAAGTTCGGTAACAGCAGCAAGAGCGCAACCACCAATGATCGGAACAAGGGACAGGTACACCGCTGGAGGGAAGGTCTCTCCGAGCAAGAGCCTAGAAACCAACACACTGAAAGCTGGCTCACCACTCTTGATTATGTGGGTGAATGAAACTGCAACCTTAGACATACTCACAGTTGCTGCTACATGTCCAATTGTATGTGCTACAGCAACCTAGAAAACAAACAAAGAAAAGAACAAAATACAGTAAAATTTGTAATTCATAGCCTCTGATTCAGGTTGTGAAGCCAAGATAGAAACAATTAAGGGAATGAACTTTGAAGATCTTAACTTTAATTTTGCAAAATAAAAAACATACATCAAATTCTAATTTCGTTTTTTTTAATTAATATATTCTTCTTTAAATTTAAGATAAGACAGATAATACCAAATTCTAGTTTCCTTCATTTTCTCTGCAATCAGACAAACTGAAACAAAGATCATATGTTCTTTTCAACATTTTCCTCCTACCGTCCAAAAAAAAAGCATATAATCCTATAAAAAATGTTCAGAAATATTAAAACTTTAGAAAATCAAAGAAACGACTTTCTAGTTTATTATCGTTTTCTCTCACTTTCTGATCAGCCAAACACGATAAGGGAGAAAAATACTCACCGGAAACAGAGTCTTCCAAAACTCAAAATCTGTTTTTGGGGCCTCAGCAATCCTTGTAGCCCATGAAATCAACATCATCAAAGAACCACAGGCAAGGGACAAAGTTGAAGTCAACCAAGGGTAAGGGTAAGCATTCAAAACCTTCTTGTTATATATATTGAAAACAACATTCAAAGCCCACCAAGTTGCGAAATAAATCCCAATTTTCACCCGTTTCGCGGTTTCGGGTTTCACTTCCGCAGCTGCCTCTAAAGGCTGCGACTTGTCAGCTTCATAAGCCTTGCATGGGATCACCGGCCTTTTCTCCTTACCGATAATCTCAATAGATGAGATATGCAAAGGCTTCGACACCGAAAGATGAGTTCTTTGGAGAACCAAAGCTGGTGAAAACGAAGATCTGTACATCGTTGACTGTGATCTTCTGTTAACAATAGAATTTGAGAGATCCATGCATGTCGCTAAAGCTGATTGCTTTATGCTGAAACTCATTTTTGTTATTTTTTTCCCAAGCGGTGGATCAAGATCAAATCTTTGAGAGAATCGAAACCGAGTGTTTGTTCAAAAGTTGATCAACTTAAGTGGAATTTGAACAATTTGAACGGCCTTTCTTTCCTCTAGGACGAAATAATAAAGAAAGTAAAAGGAATATCTTCCTTGTGAATATTCTATTAAAGATTTTTTTTGGAGGCTATAAGAGAAGTAAAGCTATAAGAATGCTGAAATCTCATGCGTTTTTATTCAAAAAAAAAAAATTCACCCAAATAATCAATAATTATATGTCATGCATCGATTTGATCAAATTTTATTGATCTAGTACCTATTTGTTAACGTAGATAGAAGGAGCAGATTATCAAATGTGCATTTCTTGAGTTTTTGTCCGAGCTAGAGTCACATGGGTAATACGCAAATCACCATCTGCACCTTCGCGGTAAAACTGACATGTAGTGGAAAGCGCGGAGGGTGATTATTCACCTTGAATTATTGGATACTCTATTATTACCCGAACTTTAAAGTTCGACGACTCACCCATCCTCCTCCCATATAAATACCCTCGAATGCAAACATCGTACCACACCAAAATTACTTTCACATTATTTCTTCTATCAATTTCTTCTATCAAGCTAAATAGATTTTGTTATAGTTCTTAGAATGTAAAATTATTTTTTATTAGATTATATTTATTTTATATTTAATTATATAACAAAAAAATTTTACTAACTATTTTGTATTATTTTTTGCGATTGTAAAATAGAAAGCATAATAAAATCTCGAGACATTTTACCGATTAGGTAATAATATCAAATTGTGCTATTTAATTTACTGTAAATTTTTTTAATTGATTTTAGCATTAATTTATATTTTAGTTTGTATACTATTTATTTAATTAGGTGTATCAGCTATTGTTTTTGCATATATAAGATTCTTAATCTTTCAAACTTTCAAACTCTTAAATGAGGCGTATTTCAGCTATTGTTTACTATGATGAAAAATTTGGAAAGATGAAATCGGCGTTGTCTTCGCATCAAATCATTCTGTCAGAATATCCTTAAAGAGAAATATCACTCTTGAGGAGATGATCACTAAAACTTCAAGGAAGGTTCATGTTGAAAGTACTAGAAGATTGTCTTCACTTCAGTACAGATTTCTAACCGCAATATTTTTGTTAACTTCTATTGCATTCGAACTCTCCAACGATGATGATGTTGCTATGATGGTTGATTCTCATAATCAAAATTCATACGCTGATACATAAATGTAAAAATTTGTTGAAGTGTCTACGGTTCGTGGTATGTCATTATGCTCCCAATTTGGGTTGGCTCAATAAGCTGATCAAGTTGACAGCCCAACTCAAGTAATGTGTAATGATTGTAACTCGTTAATGGGTAATCCACATCCTGGTACCATCCCATCAAGTTCAATGGGGAGATATTCATCATCAACTTGTTACGATATCTATCGAGGTGGCTCCACGAACAATCCGTATGGCAATATCGCTTCCAATTTAAGAGGAAAACATTCATCTGCCAATTTTTTTGACTTGAATATGGGGATGCCATCGACACAACAATATGTTCAGTACCCATTTGACACGATGCCTTCAAGTTCAAGGGGAAGACATTCAACTACCAGCTTGTTTGACCTAAATATCGACATCACAAAGAAACCCTCATCTCCACCAAAAGAACCTCTTCGTGAGCCAGGTGCGGATGGTGCTGAGACTGGACTATTCGTTGAGCCAGAATCATCGTAGTTCAACATGAACTCCGATGATGATGATGTAGATAAAGTTCCAAAAAATACGGTACACATCGAACCTCTAGCACAAATGTATGAAGATGACTATGGTGCAATGTATGAGCCAGAATTTGCGGATATGCCTAATGTTGGTGACTACGAATTTAACTCATCAATCAATGATGTTGAGTTATATATCGGAATGGAGTTTCCATTGAAAGAAGTAGCGATGATTGAAATTAAGAATTGCAATATTCGTAATTATGTTCACTCCATAGTCGATTGATCCACCACTGAAAAATATGTCTGCTATTGTGTCCAACGTAATAACGGATGCAACTGGATAGTTTGTGTATCGAAGAGGAAGAGGAAAAATAACATATAGGAACTAACAATATACAAAGGTCATCATACATGTTGTGCTAGAAGGATCAACCAGGACTATCCCTACTTGGACTTCGACATTATCTGCCAAGCCATCATGCCCATGGTCAAAGCAAGCTCCCATATAGCTATTGCGGTGCTGCTTTCTGCTACACAGTCTCAATATGGGTATATTGTCTCCTACAGAAAAGCATAGAAGGAAAAAATAATGCCATTAAAAAAATTCACAGTGAATGAGATTTATCTTACAATGAACACCAAGTTGGTTTATAGTTGTGCGAAGACTGAATTCTAGGATAATAGTCAACTTTGAAACTTTTCATGCATACCACAATGATTGAGTGCTTCACGATCGATGCCAATTCTACCGTCTTTTTTGGACTTACCCACAGCACATCAATGTTGTGAAATACTGTAAACTTGTGGTCCAAATTAATGGGACATTATTGTATGAAAAATACAAGCAATTTCTACTATTAGCAGTTGTCCAATATGGTAATCGCAATATACTTCCAGTTATTTTTACCTTTGTTGAAGAAGAAGATACATATTTTCGAGTTTTTTTCCTCAAAAAATTAAGCTTACATGTTGTCACGAAGAAAAAAACCTATGTTATTTCAGCTTGCGGAGCTGGTATCAAAGAAGTAAAAGGGTCTTTGGGTCAAATATGTCAACCGCCCTATGTCCAACATCTGTACTGTATCTGACATATTGCCGCGAATTATCATGGAAAGTTCAAGAAGAATAATGAACACCAATTACTTGTGCGCATGGGTATGCCACAATTCCTAATTTAATTTCTCCATCATTTTTATTTTTTATGGGAACTTAACAATAAGTACTACATTTGATGCTCAAGTTACAAACTACTTACTCAAACGTTTGAGTTCATGCTTCAAGATTTGCAACAAAGAAATGTGGACATATGCATATGATGGTGGATATCAATATGACATATGACGACCAACTTGGCTGAGGCTATCAATTCGACCTTAAATGGGAACTCTATTTACCAGTAACAACTTTGGTTAAAACGACATATTTTCATTTAGGAGCACTTTTTGCCAAGTTCGGGGGATAAATTGAAACTTAGATGCAAAACAGTCATGTTTATTACCCAAAATTAGTTGCAGATCTACAAAAAAGAATTGTTGCTTCAAATGAAATATCAATAACAAGCTTATCTCGAACCCATGAATTATTTCGTGTCACAGAAATATCACGACCTCTTCAAGAGAAATTCAACACAAAAGTAAATGTCGTTGGTAACTTTTTGGGACCTCTCCAAAGGCCTTATAACTCATACGTTAACACCTTTAATCCATGATAGAGGGACCATCCAAAGCTCAGTTACGAGAACATTCAGAGAACAAATCCAAGTAATCAATCGAGGCCTCATCTACTTCTACCTCAACAACCACAAACGTCTTCGCTAGAATTGATTGTCGAGAGATTGGACTTGTCCCAAGAGAAGTTTCAAAATCAAAACCAAGATCATCTTCACGAGATAGATAAGCAAATAAGCCAATTAGCTCAGACAATATGGCATTTAGAGTTTCAAGGTAATCTGTTGTCACAAACCGAATCTAATCCAAGAGAAAATGTTAGTGCAATAACTCTCCGAAGTGATACCGTTATTTCACCTGAGATCCCAAAGGAGAATAACGCACCACCCAAGAAGAAGAAAGAAACTGAGACGCTATCGCTTCCTAATTCAGTTAATAACACATCTTCATCTTCCATTTCACCTTACAAAGTTTCGCCTCATTTTCCTTCTAGATCAATGAATCAAGATAAACAAGCTGAAGAGAAGGAGATCCTAGATGTATTTCGAAAAGTGGAAATAAATATTCTATTCCTTAAGGTGATCCGAAAGATTTTAAAATATGCTAAATTTCTTAAGGACCTTTATACCTACAAAAGGCGGTTGATCGGTAACGAGAAGATAAATCTGGGTGAGAACATCACCGATACACGATGTCAATAATCGTCTTCACCCCATCGAACCAAACATCACTGAGATATTATCCTATATCCACCCTAGCCGCAGTCGTGGTTGTGGCCATAGTCGCCAAGGAACATGAGGAGTATTCTTTACCCTTTCACTTGTTCTTTCAATTTTATTTCCAGATTGGGGAAATATGATTTAAGTGAGGGGGTAGAGATGTCATTTGAATTTTACCTTACTTGTCTTGTGATTCGTTTGATTATATGCATTGGTTGACTTGATTTTTAATTTGATTGTAATTCTTCGCCTTCGTTGAGTACTTTTAGTATAGTATGTTTGTTTTAGTTTATGTGATTACTTGGATATGGATATTCATGATAATGGAATTGCATGAGTAGAAATTTAAGTTGACTTGATTGTGACCATCCTTGATTTTGTTGATTGAAATTCGCCTAACTCGATGCATGAACCCTATTTAGTAAGATTTGAGCCTTGATTAGCATGTTCTTTAGTTTTATGCTCTTATTCTTGATTGAGAGTGTCGAACTAAAAATTAACAATCTAGAACTTATAGTACGATGCATGTTGAGAATAAAAAAAAAATTGATGCTTTGAAGTAATTTGGCACTTAGGATTCACCCAATTTTTACCCAAAATATCTTTCATTTTCTTTCCAAGTAGCTAACCATGTTTAAGCATGTCCCATTTCTTCGCTTTCAGCACAATCTTAAAACCAAACCTTTTTCATTTTTCCTCTCTTCCTCCCTTTTCAAGACAAAAAGAAATAGATAAAGGTTGTATGATCACCTTTCATAAAAGAAAAAGAAATAAAAAAGGAAGCATTCGAAAAAAAAAATAAAAAGGGAATCAAAAAGAAAAAACCGAAAAGAAAAAAATAATTGTTAGATGTTTTAATGTAAATATTTTGTTATTCCATTTATTTTGCTTATCTTGTGGGCTTGGTTTAATCGTTTGAAGAACTCTTTGTCTTGACCCTTAACCTCGTTTCTAACATTTTTTTCTACTTTTACCTAAGCCCCATTACAACCCTTTTCAAGACCCAATGATTTTTGCATCTTATTATTATTAAGTAGTTGTGGTTGATTGCATTAAAAGCTTATGGAAACATTATGTTTAGTTTCAACCTTGAGCGTTCTCTCACCCAAAACACCTTGAGTGAATTGAGTGAACCTTTGTGAGGAATTGAGTTAGGTTGAACTGAGATTGATAAATGATTGGGAGTTACAATTTTTGTTTGACATGATCATACGTATGCTTATTTCAATTGATTGATGTCTTGATTTGAGTAGTTATTGTGAACTTGGATTGTATAATTTACTTTGGTATGAGACGAAGTGGATGAAGGTAGATTGATTTTTGACTAATTTGATTAAAGCATACTTGAGGACAATCATGAGACAAGTGAGGGGGAATTCGATGAACATTTCAGATTATAAATTTTTACTTGTTAGTTTTCCCATTTTATGAATTTATTACTGATGCTTTGGGTTGTGTTTCGCTTATTTTCGTGCAGTGATCTATTTCCCACAATTGGCAGTAAAAGGGAGTTGTTCGCATTTTTTTTATTATTTGATCGTAATTGGAGACATGGACACGATGCTAGGCATGACGCGGTCTGAAATGGCAGTATCTAGGAGGTTCAGTCAGCATCGGGAAGATTCTGGAAGTAGCCTATTTAGCACAATATGAGAATATATTTTAGGAAATTTAGTTTTTAAGTTTGAATTTAAACATTTGAAATTATCTTTAAGATTGTTTTTTACAATTTAAATATTTACTATTTTCGAGATTTGAAAAACTATAAATACCCCCTTTAGGGGTATGGTTGGATATATTGAATTTATCTTTGTTATTCTATTTCTATTTTATAAAAGTTACCTTTTTATTTCATTTTTTACTTTATTTAAGTTTCATCGCCTTTTATAAAACATGATAAGTACGATTTCTATCATGCTCAGCTAATTTTCTTATTAGCCGAGAGCTAGAGATAACTCAATTCCAAATGCGAGAATTGAAAAGTATTTAATACCCTTCGGGTTACATTCTCGATTTTTTGTTAAATTAGTTTGACAATCAATATTACTTATAAAAATCAAAACACTTTCATTTCAAAAAGTCGATGTTGGTCTGTATGTTATTATGTTTTATAGTTGGGAGGAATGATCGACCTATGGCATGTTCGAATTCATGTGAACACACTTAGTGGCGGTCCGCTAAGGAAAATCGAGATCAGATTCGATTCTCGTTGAGATAACATAATCCAAGTTGGGGTTTTCCAGTACCTAAATATGTTTTGTTCCAACGATAATAACTATGGTTAGTCCATCCAAGGACCAAATTTCGAAGAGTGGCTTGGGAAGATCGGTTACCAAAGAGAAATGCAAGTTACAACGGTTGGGTCTTGTAGACTATTATCGGCATAAACCCGGAGTAAAAATCCATTTGGATAATCAAAAGAAAATGAAGCAAAGCTAGCTCGAAGCTATTTTCTCATAATTATTTTTAATTTTATTTGTTTTTCAACTCTTATTCACAAACCCCCCATATCTATTTATTTCTTGTTAAAGCTGCATAGGTTAAAATCAACACAACTTTGCATCAGGAATTTCTATGTCCCTACGGATCAACTCTTTTCTTCACTATATTATTCTTATTTCTATTATTTTATTTTGAGAAAAGGAATTTATTTGACGAGTAAAATGACGCTTGTCAAGGATCCAAAGGTTAATTACTTTATCAATTAATCACTGAACTTTTAGATGTTGCTTATCAGTCTTCCAATTCCTTATGTGATTCATATGAGACTTATTCAGTTTACTAACATTGTACTATAATCAGAGTAGGCTTAAAAATAATCAACTGTAACTCATGTCTAAGTAAAATATATCCATGCATTATCCATTATCAACATGTTCCATAAAGCATAAAAAATAGCAAAGTATTACCTTGATTTTTGTATTATATTGGTCGATAGTTTAAACTCCATTCAATCTCCCTTGAACTTGAATTCAACCTCTCATAATATCTAGGATATATGGAAAAAAGAATTGCATCATACACAAAACTTAAACATGAAAATCAGATCAAATTAGAGGATAAAATTCTAAAAAACAACATATCAGATTCAGATTTGGTGAAATGGACCATAAAATTAGACTCAAGACGTCGAAAAAAGTTAAGATAGGTGGTCTAAAAAAGTTAATATCAGTTAATGCTGGTCTATGATTAACAGAAGTCAACAACGATTAACAATGGTCAACAACAACTCAACTTGGCTCAGTCAATGGCTCAAATGGCTGAGTCAACGACTCAATCAATGGCTCGGTCAACTCAGTCAATGGCTCGATCAACTCAGACTGGTCCAGCCGGTTCAGAGAACTCTCCAGGCGGCAAACGTAGCCCACACATAAGAGGCGGTGCGTGTGGAGCGTGCGACGGTCTGCAGTTGTCAGACAACCACCAAAATTTGCAGAATTAAATTTTAAAGGCCGGGGAGTCACTTATAGGTGTTGTTTTGCGACAGAGAACGATGAAAATATCAAAATGCAAATGACCGAATCTTTTATCTTCTCACCTCCTCAAACGCCGACGACGATGGAGATTCCAAGGACACCGATCAAGTCTTCACAGCTCAAGGAACATGATGGTGCCAACGGTGTAGCAAATGAAGGTCTAGTTGGCGAAGAAACGATTGTGGAAGCGTTCTTAAAGAGAGAAAAATTTTAAAGTGAGGAGAGAAATAAAACTTTCTAAAATTTAAAAGTATGAATGAGCTTTCCAGATTAGGGGTTTATAACACAACCATAAAATAAAAAGGTAAAATCATCCTCCAAGTGCTTGAGTTTTCTTCATTTTATGAATTTTATTTAAAATTTATAAAAAAATTCAATTTAGTCATTGAAGTCTTTAACCCCTAATTTGAGGTGTAACATAGATACTATAAAAAATCAATTCTTTCCCTAATATGATTCCTTTAGGTTTTCTCTAAATGCCATGTGAACCAACCTGATTTAGGTTTTATTTTAGTTTTGTCTAATAAAGAGCCTAGTTTCGCCCATTTGATTTTAGGGTAAACTACATAAATAACCACCTAACTATGGGATTGGTCCTGAAATGACAACCATTTTCAAAATTGCATCAATATGACCATTGAACTATTTAATTGTGTGCAATATAGCCACTCAAAGTTAGTATTTAACAGAAGTATTTACGTGACATTTAAAGAAATTGATATAATTATATATTTGATCCCAACACTAGTGCATGTAACCAATTTGTCCTAGTTTTAATTTTATTTAATAAATTATCTATCCATGTGTCACCATATGGTTAAAGGAAAACTAAATTGCAATGAAAGATATAGTAAATGGTGTTGGGGGATTTGAACTTGGCACTTAGAGGATTTAAACATAACACAATAACACACAATTGTGTTATGTTTACAACATAATATATATATTTTATAAAGTAGTAATGCTAAAATAAAAGAAATAAAAATGCTTATGAAGGGATTTGAACCGAAGCCATGGGAAACTTAAAATACCAAACTACTAAACAAATCATACTTTCATATAATAATATGGTAGATTTTTATATATAAACTTAATACTAATTTATACACTACTAAAAGAAAATTAAATTTAAAATTTACATATTTTAAAAATAAATTTAAATTTTTTTACATTTATAATTCAATGATTATATATAATCTTAAATTGAATCTTTTTAATTTAATTGATATTTAAAAAAAATAAAATGTGTAAGTTAAGTTATAAGAAATAAATAATTTAAATTACACATTTTAAACTACACTGTCTAATAAAAAATTAACTAAAATATCATAATTCATACACTTTGTTTTTAAATTTAAGTTTAGGTTCAAATCCCTCATATATATATTTTCATTTTATTTTATAGCATTAACTACTTTATAAAATACATATATTATTCCGTAAAACACAACACAAATATATAGACTGATTTAGTGGCTACTTGACTGCATTATTTGAGAAATTGAGCTATGATTGAACTTCATTCCTCTAAGTCCTAAACACAAATCCCATCCTAAACATTTTTATTTCTTTTTTCTAGCATTAACTATTTTATAATATACTCAAATATGGAGGTTGGCGACTTTTTTTAGTCCAATAAAGGTAACAGATTTTTTATTTATTCCATTAAAATATCTCAATTTATATTTTGGGATTTACGATATTTTTATAGTGCTATTAAAATTCGTCATATCGAGATGATGAGTTCTAATAAAATATATTTTTTTATTAAATTTATCACATCAAAGTAAAAAGTTAGAATAAAAAAAATATTTTTTATTAAAATTCGTCATCTCGACGTAATAAGTTCCATATTTCTGTAAAAAAATACTATAGATCACAAAATAAATTTTTACTTATCTTATTAAATTAAATAAAAAACTCATATTCCTTACTATGTCAATTTTACCAATGTTGGCTTCATGGTTATGGGTTGTACTTCATTCCCCTAGTTCTAAGTCCAAATCCCTCTAACACCATTTTATCATGCTTTTCTTTGTAATTTAATTTTTTTTAATCAGATTGTGACACATATTATTATTTAGTTAGAAGATAAATAATTAAACTAAAAAATTAAAATTAAAGAAATTTTCAGATAATTTAATAGTGATATTTGTCATTATTTAATTAAATAAATAATTTATTAAATGAAATTAAATTTAAAATCAAATTGATTGTATATAAAAATATTAAAACTTAAATGTATAATTATACCAATTTTTATCTATACCATTAATAATTTAAAAAAGACAAAACCGGCTGGATGTTCATTTATTTAGTTTACCCTCGAGTTTCTCTCTTTCTCAAACCTCTCTTATGAAATCGCATGCGAAAACCTCGCAGCTACTCTGAGCCTTAAAACCCCTTCTAAAACCCCTTCCATTTCGAAATGATTCTCTTTAGAACTTCACCGTTTTCTAGCCAAATCAAACTTCTCTTCAAAAACCAGAACTCTCTTTACAAGCACTTCCCTCCTTCATCGTCCTTAATAATCAGAACCCTTAATTCATCTCTCCAGGAACCAACCAAGAAGCCACTTTCTCTGATGTTTGAAGAAGCAGTTGGTTTAACCGAAAAGACTGGTGGAAACGAAGGGCAGAGCCAAGACGAAAAGAATGAGCGAACGAGAAAAGTAAGGGAATTGGAGAGAGATGTTCGGGAGTTCAAAGAAAACCCAAAGCCCCAAGTGGAAAAGGAAGCCAGAGAGGGAGTAGAGAGGGGGAAACCCAAGGAAGTTAACTGTTTGGCTGGGTTGTTTGGGGGTGAAAAGATGGCGAAATCGAGGAGAAAATCTGGGGAGGTCACGGTTTTGAAGGATCTTTCGGTGTTCGTTAAGGTTTTCGTTAGGTATTTGTATTCAAAAGGGTATTTTGACAAAGCTAATTTCTTGGTGGACAACAAGTTGGATTTTGGTTACTTTGATAATAGTTATGGCAGAGATTTCATCAAGTCTGCTGCTTACAAGTTTGGTAAAGATAATGAAGAGATTGCAAAGTAAGAACATGTTTTCCCCCCCATTTGTTTGGATTTGACATTGTTTGCTAATGTGTTGCATATAAATGTTGGCTGATTGATGTTCATGTTATGTTTACTTCATCTTTATTGAATGACATAACCTTATACATTGTATTTTCAGGTTGTTGTCAGGCAATCACTTGAAGAAAGTGGCGGTCTTTGGTTGCCCTTCCCTTGATAAAAATAACGTCTTTCCTGCTAAGAGGTTGCGAAAAATCTTTACAATTCAAGAAGACACTGTAAGCCGTTATTTCAGTACTTCAAACAAGTAAAACTTTTATTGTATGTCGAGTATAGATAATGTAATGTTGTTTGTTTCGACGTCTGTTATCTCTTCAGGTTTGCAGTCAATGCATATTAAAGGATTCATGCAGGTTTGCTAATAAGGGTGTGTCGGGAATTGCTATGGAGAGCTTGCTTCTAGTCGATGTAATGAAGGTTATAATTTTGTATGCTTTAGAGCAAGAGCATCCAAAGCTCGCAGTTCCTGAAGAAGTACGTGATTCAGCCAACAAATTGCTGGAGGAGGTTGTAAAGCTAAGCCAAACCACATGACAGGGCTTCTAAAATGTTCCTACAGGTACTTGGGGTGAACTCAGCTGTAACTTCTTCACTTTCATTTTGGCTGTTTACATCGATTTGTTTTAGATCACGTGTTACATATTATGGATATGATTGTGATTTGCGAGGAATGTCGGTAAAGATTTTTTGGTGGCATAGATGATCTCATCAGTAGACAAGCATATGATCCAGCAAAACAAATGAATTGAACCATATGCATGTATCAGCAAAACAAATTTGATTCAGGGTCCGTTTGCTGCTTACAGTACACCAAGTGACCAGTTAGAGGCATAGCTTTTTTCATTGACTGAACTTGTTTATATTTTCTAGTTTATGGGATTCTCTTATGGAATTTAATGACGGTAGTGGAGTTGTTCAACTGTTTCCTTCATTATAAATAAACTCAAAATATTGGATCATATATCTGTGAATTAATATCTTGGCCTATGGTACTTGAACTATTTAATTTTCTTGAAGAATTTGTGTTTGATACTTTCGAATATATAAATATATGAACTTCCAAATATATGAAAAAAGTTCGCCATATTTGAGCTGACTCGCATTTGATAGATACTCGTATCCGAATCAATTACTCAAACATTGCAGAAGAAAAATAAAAAGATGATGATAATTGGGGTCTGAACTTAGCATTTCAACCATCTGCATTCTGCAATACTATCCTCAATTTTCTCTTTTCATTAGATCAAGGCTTCATAGTTTAGCTAAATATCCATTTGCAGAAATTATGCTTTATTGATTCAAGTAGTACATTACTTCCACTGCACTGCACAACCAGTAGGAAACATGGTCTTTATGACTGCTTAGGTGCCAAATGAAGGCACAACTAAGCCTAAAAGCCATGTATACTTATATAATTAGTAAATAGAGAAGAGGATTTGGACCCGGAGCTTAGTTCAGTTGAGAGGTGGCATCTAATAGATTTAAACTTCGAAACCCCTGCTGCAGCCTGCTTTGTAATAAAAAAGGGGGAAAATTCTTTAACACAGTATAGCTAACAGATTATTTGGTACCATTAAACTAAATTTGAAGCAATGTAAGGAAGATGGTTTTACCTGTGGCTGTTGGACTGTTGAACCGCAAGAAATTCGAACTTCCAAATCCATGGATGCTTTGATCTATTATCCTTTAGCTATGTATGATTCTTTTGAATTTTGAGATGATCATAAGCTTCTTCTCCACCAACTGCTGCACCAACAATGTATCCCATCACAGCAATAACCCATACCCAATCCACATTTTTCAGCATGGAATGGTTTCTTCCATTTACGTCAGAACTTATGGGGTCTGTTTCATGATGATAGTCACAAGGGGGCAATGGTATCCCACATAGTCCTAGGTTGTTCTCGTATCTAGAAGCCGAAAACGTCGTAAGTTGTCCGGTTGAAGGAATAGGACCAACGAGGTTATTGTTGGAGACATCGAGATCTGTAAGAAATGTAATAATCCCCAAGGATCCTGGAAGCCTGCCTTGAAGATAGTTACAAGATAGGTTAAGCAAGCAAACTTCTTTTACTCCCTCAACGGTATCAGGAATATTTCCAGTTAATCTGTTGTGTGACAAATCCAAAACATGTAGATTGGACATGGAACCGATGTTTTCGGGAATAGTACCAGAAAGATGATTGAAAGAAAGATCCATAAAGACGATGGTTCCAGTACTTGTTTTTATCATTTGATTTGGCCAATTATATATTGTTATCAATGAACAAGAATTGGACTCAAAGCTTCTTCCTTTATCTCTTAAGAACATTTATCCACCTTTGGAACTCAAACTAAATATGGGATCAAAGCGTTTTTGGGTAGCGAGGATCGATGGAATTTGACCTGTAAACTGATTGCTACCCAAATCGAGCCATATGAGGTTTTTGAAACTACCGAGATCAATTGTTTGAATATTTCCAGAAAATGAGTTGTAACTTAACTGTAAAATGCTCAACTTCTGTAGGTTATGAAGACCAGTAGGGATAGTTCCAGTCAGCCGATTAAATGAAAGCGACAACCATGAAAGATTTGTGCAATTAGTGATCGATGCAGGAATGTTCCTAGTGAAGCCATTGTTGTTGAGAGCAAGCTTCCCCAAGTTTTGAGTTCCTGAGCATGTCTTTTGGAATTTCACTAGATAAGTTATTCCCCCACATAATAAAGTCATAAACATTTGGTAGCTTCCAAACTTCCGATGGGATCAGTCCGTTTAGATGGTTTCGAGCAAAGTTAATCTTCTCCAATCTCTTACAATTTCCAATATCTGCAGGTATTGTTCCTGACAGAAAATTGTCTGCAAGGAGTAATTTTCGTAGAGAGGAATTAATGTTGAAAGTTTGACTTATGCACCGAAAGTGTAAAGTTAATGCACCGAATGAATTAAAAAAGGGGCAACGAAAAGTAACTGATTTTTGTTGAATTTGAGTAATAGAAAAACTATAAATTTAGTCCATGTACTTTAAGATATTTACAAGATTAGTCCTTAAGGTTCAACTATAAATACCCTAACTCATTTAGCTTCAAAATCATCCCAAATCATTTTAGTTTTCTCTCAATACTAGAGAATTTAGAGAGTTCTCTTGAGAGTTTTTCTTCTTCTCTTTTTTATCAAGAGAGAATTGTTATTGTTTTCTTCTTGTTAGATCGAGAGAAGTTGTAATTCCTATTTTCTCATAATGAAATTCTTCTATTTTGCATGTAGTTTTTATCCTATATTATTTAGGGAGTTTACACATAAAATTTGTGTCTTCTTTATCTTTATTTTTATTTTCTCAAATTATCAATTGCGATTTTGTTCTATCCGATAGCCATTTTCTGCAACAATTGGTATCAAAGCCAGATTAGAGTGTAATATCTACTTATTGTCTTTTTGGTTGCTACCAAAAGGTGGATCCTCCAATATAAGAAAGTAATAATGTATTACCCATTCTTTGAAGGTTCCAAAGAACTATTCACGATAGTGAAATAGTGGGAGCTATCCGTAATAGAAGCTATAACAGCGAAATTTGATATTGAAAAGTTCAATGAGAGAAATTTCTCATTGTGGAAATTGAAGATGAATGTCATCCTAAGGAAAGACGATTGTCTAGCAGCTATTAGTGAAAGGCCGATAGATTTCACAGATGATAACAAATGGATTGAAATGGACGGGAATGCTATGACAAACTTTCATCTAGCATTAGTAGATGAAGTATTGTCAAGCATCGAGGAGAAGAAGACAACTAAGGAGATATGGGATCATCTCACCAAATTGTACGATGCCACATCGTTTCACAATAAAACTTTCCTTAAGAGGAAATTGTATACTCTCTGAATGTCAGAATCTGCTTCAGTGACTTAGCATTTAAACACACTGAACACTTTATTTTCTCAGATTACATCATTAAGATGTACAATAGGAGAACAAGAACGTGCTGAACTTCTACTTCAAAGTCTACCTGATTCGTATGATCAACTCATCATCAACTTGACAAACAATAATGTCACCAGTCTAGTCTTCGATGACGTTGCAGCTGCTATTCTATAAGAAGAAAATCGACACAAGAACAAGGAAGACAAACAAGTAAATCTGAAACAAGCAGAAGCGTTAACAACGATGAGAGGGAGATCAACAGAATGTGGCCAAAGCAGCAGTCAAAAACATGGTAGATCAAAGTCGAGAAGCAAGAAGAATTTAAAGTGCTACAACTGTGGAAACAAGGGTCACTTGCAGAAGGATTGTTGGAGTCTAGGCAAAAACTCCAATCCACAAGCAATACCGTAAACGATTCAGATGATGGAGATGCTCTATGTTGTGAAGAGTTAACCACAAAAAGATTTGCAGATATATGGCTCATTGATTCAGGAGCAACATATCACATGACCTCAAGAAGAGAATGGTTTCATCATTATGAACCTGTCTCAGGAGGATCTGTGTATAGTTGCAATGATCATGTCTTAGAGATCGTTGGCGTTGGAACCATCAAATTGAAGATGTATGATAGAACAATTAAAGTTGTTCGAGATGTGCGACACATGAAAGGCCTGAAGAAAAAATTATTATCCTACAGATTGTTGGATAATAATGCAAGCAACATTGAAACATGGAAAGGAATCATGAATGTGTTCCGTGGAGTACTTGTGGTGATGAAAGGCGAAAAGATAGCAACAAACTTGTACATGCTGAAGGGAGAGACTTTGCTAAAAGCAGAAGCCTCTGTTGCCTCATGTAGTTCAGATTCTGCAATGTTATGGCATCAGAAACTTAGACACATGTTAGAACAAGGAATGAAAGTCCTTATGGAGCAAAAGCTACTTCCAGACTTAACAAATGTATCACTTACTTTGTGTGAGCATTGCATAACAAGTAAGCAGCACCGGTTGAAATTAAACACATCAAATTCTAGAGGCAAAAGTGTTCTAGAATTGGTTAATTCTGGCGTATGGCAAGCACCAGTTACATCCCTAGGTAGAGCAAAATACTTTGTCTCATTTATTGATGACTACTCCAGGAGATGTTGGGTGTACCTTATTAAGAAGAAGTCAGATGTGTTTTCAACTTTCAAAAACTTCAAAGCACGGGTGAAACTTGATTCTGGAAATAAATCAAGTGTTTCAGAACAGATAATGGAGGAGAATACACAAGTGAAGAATTTGTTGACTTTTGCAGGAAAGAAGGCATAAAAATACATTTCATAGTGGCGAACACTCCTCAACAAAATGGAGTGGCAGAGCGGATAAACAGAACCTTGTTCGAAAGAACAAGAACAATGTTGAGGGTTGCAGGCCTAGAAAAATAATTTTGGGCAGAAGCAGTCAATGCCGCCTGTTATTTGGTGAATCGAGCTCCATCAACTGCAATAGAGCTGAAGACACTAATGGAGATGTGGACTGGTAAACCTGCTGATTATTCAAACCTCCGTGTATTTGGAAGTACTGTGTACGTGATGTACAACTCCCAAGAAATTTCAAAGTTGGATCCAAAATCCAGAAAATGCAAATTCTTAGGGTATACTGATGGTGTAAAAGGGTATCGCTTGTGCGATCTCACTACCCACAAAGTGATCATCAACAGGGATGTTATCTTTGTAGAATCTTTGTAGAAGATAAACTACAAAGAAAAGAAGATGATGATAGTGCAGAAAAATCAGAGACTACACATTTATATGTGGAAAAGGAGTTTGAACAAGGAGATTCTTCTGAAGCAGAACCGGCACATGATGAACCAGAACCAGAGAGTTCTGAAGCTCCAACAACTCGTCAATCATATCGTGTGAGAAGACATCCCAATTGGCACTCAGATTATGTTATAGAAGGAAATATTGCATATTGCCTTTTAATAGAGGACGGTGAGCCATCAACATTCCAGGAGACAATAAACAGCTCAGATGCTTCACTGTGGATGATGGCGATGCAAGAAGAAATTAAAGCCCTTCATAAAAATAATACATGGAACCTTATGCCACTAACACAAGGAAGGAAGCTAATTGGTAACAAATGGGTCTTCAAAATCAAGCGAAATTGTGACGATCAAGTTGAGAGGTATCGTGCAAGATTGGTGGTCAAAGGATATGTTCAAAAAGTAGGTATTGATTTCAATGAAATATTTTCTCCTGTGGTTCGACTAACAACAATTCGAGTAGTTTTGACAATGTGTGCTAGATTGAACTTACATCTAGAGCAACTAGATGTTAAAACAGATTTTCTTCATGTATATCTTGAAGAAGAGATTTATATGCTCCAGCCTAAAGGTTTTGAAGAAGACGAAAAGAAGAACTTGGTTTGCAGGTTGAACAAATCTCTGTACGGTCTAAAGCAGGCGTCGAGATGTTGATATAAAAGATTTGATTCCTTCATTATGTACCTTGGATACAACAGACTTAATGCAAACCCTTGTGCTTATTTTAAGAGGTTTGGTGATAACGATTTTGTAATATTGTTGTTGTATGTAGATGACATGTTGGTTGCAGGACCCAACAAAGATCATATTGAAGAATTGAAGGCACAACTGGCTAGAGAATTTGAAATGAAAGACTTGGGATCATCAAACAAGATTCTAGATATGCAAATTCACCGAGACATAAGTAATAGGAAGATGTGGCTTTCACAAAAGAATTACTTGAAGAAGATCTTGTCAAGATTCAACATGCAAGATTGTAAGCCAATTTCTACCCCTTTTCCTATTAATTTCAAATTATCCTCTAGTATGAGTCCTAATAGTGAAGAAGAGAGGATGAAGATGTATTGAGTACCGTATGCATTGACAGTGGGAAGTTTAATGTTCGCTATGATATGCACAAGACCAGACATTGAACAAGCAGTGGGAGTGGTTAGTCGGTATATGGTGAATCCATGCAAAGATCATTGGAATATAGTAAAGAGGATTTTGAGATACATCAAAGGGACCTCCAATGTTGCATTATGTTACGGAGGATTAAATTTACTTATCAAAGGTTATGTTGATTCTGACTATGCAGGGGATTTGGATAAAAGAAAATCTACAACAGGATATGTGTTCAAAGTTGCTGGTGGAGCTGTAAGCTGGGTTTCAAAATTGCAGTCAGTTGTGGATACGTCCACAACAGAGGCAAAATATGTAGCAGCTACACAAGCTAGTAAAAAAGCAATTTGGTTGAAGATGCTATTGGAGGAGCTTGGACACAATCAAGAGTATGTCTCTTTGTTTTGTGACAGTCAAAACGCCTTGCATCTAGCAGAGAATCCAACATATCATTCAAGGATAAAACACATATGAGTTCAGTACCACTTCATTCGTGAAAAGGTTGAAGAAGAGACGATAGATATGCAGAAGATCCATACCAAAGACAATATAACAGATTTTATGACGAAGGCGATCAATGCTGATAAATTTACTTGGTGTCGATCCTCTTGTGGCCTGTCAGAGACGTAAGCAACATGAAGGTACAAGATAGAAAAAATGGTGTGAATATATGATTGTTCCAATCAAATCTTCAAGTGGGAGATTGTTGAAAGTTTGACTTATGCATCGAAAGTGCAAAGTTAATGCACCGAATGAATAAAAAAAGGGGCACCGAAAAGTAGCTGATTTTTGTTGAATTTGGGTAATGGAAAAATTGCAAATTTAGTCTCTTCACTTTAGGGTATTTACAAGATTAGTCTTTAAGCTTCAACTATAAATACCCTAACCTATTTAGCTTCAAAATCATTCCAAATCATTATAGCTTTCTCCCAATACTAGAGAATTTAGAGAGTTTTCTTGAGAGTTGTTTTCTCCTTTTATCAAGAGAGAATTGTTATTGTTTTCTCCTTGTTATATCGAGAGAAGTTGTAATTTCTATTTTCTTATAGTGCATTTATTCTATCTTTGCTCGTGGTTTTTACCCTATATTATTATTTAGGAGTTTTTCACGTAAAATTTGTGTCTTCTTTATCTTCATTTTTATTTTCTCAAATTATCAGTTGCGATTTTGCTCTATCCGATAGCCGTATTCCTCAACAATTAAAGCATAGCCCTGAGGGTATGTTGCCATTGAAGCCATTGGAACTAAGATCAAGAACTTGAAGCTTAGTACAGTTTGTAAGAGACACCGAAATGAAACCATTAATGTTGTTGAATTGAACTTGGAGGATTTGCAAACTAGGAAGATAACTAATGACTGTAGTGAGGAAATTTCCTGAAAGCTGATTGCTTCCAAGGTTGAGCCTTTGCAAGCCATTGATGACTTGAATGTCTCGGGAAAATCGCCTGGAAGTTCTTTTCCGGAGAGGTCGAGCTCTATTAGAGTCCCGCACATGGAATCCATTTCCGGTGAGATATTACTGGAAAAGGTGTTTTGAGCTAAATTCAAGTGCTTCAAATTCCTCAAATTCCCTAAAGAAGCTGCAATTTCACCCTGCAGCTTATTAAAGGAGACATCAAGGGTCTCAAAAAGCTGACAGTTAATCAAGCTTCGAGGAATTCCAGTACCGTAAAGTGAATAATTAGACTAGTTAAGGGCCACAAGATTAGCAGTTTAGCACAATTCTTGAATTCAAGCATCGGGAAATCAGCAAACAATTTGTTGTGGGAAAGGTCCAATAATTTAAGCGACTTGAAGAAATTAGAACCAACAACAGCATGTATATCTCCAGGGATGGTGTTATGTGAAAGATTTAAAGAAACCAAATGGAAACAAGAACCCAAAAATGATTCAGAAACCTGCTCCAATAGATTATTGAATAACAAATCAAGTGTCTCAACAATGCAGGAAGGATGAGAAGCCTTGTCGGGGAAGAAACTAGCAGAGAAGAAATTTCCACTAAAGTGGAGATGTTTGAGACTTTTCAGGACCATTGAGACCATCCAAATGCAGACGACCAATTAGACCAGCGTCAGTTAAGTTAAGCATAGTAACTTTTCCGTGCAAAGAACACGAGACGCATCGCCACGAACATGGAGTTAAAGATTCTAATCTCCAATCATTGAGCAAACCATGGGGATCAGAAGCTACATATTTTTGCTTGAAACCCAACAATGCCATTACTTCATTGCTGGGATTCTGCTGCTGCAAAGATAGGGTAAAGTCATTGCTTAGGGAAATGAAAATGAAAAGCTGAAGAGATACATGCATTGGTTCTGGAAAACCCAGAAATTCCCCATTTTCATGTTGGAAGTATTTGGATGAACATCAACATGGTCCTGATTGCTTATTTATAGCTGCAAAAGTTATGATTGCAGTGTTACTAGGAAATTTCTCATCTCGAAATGTGTTTACTTTTCATATGACTCACTGTAACATCAAAGTATTATCAAGTGTGGGGTTAAGAACAAGTTGAGAATTCAGTGGAAACATAAAACATGTCATTCAATTAATCGCCTTCTAATTTCAGTTGTTGACGATGATCAAATTTCCTCCAAATAACAAAAAGAAGAAAGTGCGTCCACAAGTTCTTTATCGTCTTCTTCTTGACTTGTGTTCCAAGTACCACCAACTCAATGTGATGATACACTATTTGACAATACGAACTGAAATTAGATTTGATTCATGGTTTAGGAATTGATGGATTCAAATCAATTTCAAGTTATTTTTATTTTCTTGGGTTAATTACATGTTTGGTACATGGATTATATACCCAATTCCTCGTTACCATGTAAATTGTTTTTTTATCAGTTACATACATATATGAAGTATTTTACTGTCAATTACTTCAGTCATTTTTGTGACAGGATCGAAATTGACCCTTAAATCAATCAATAATTCATACGTGACATTTTATTTTAAAAAATCTAGATTTATTTAGATTTAAGGTATAATAGCAAGATTAATCCTTAAAGATTCATTATTTTTTCTTAAAAAATTACATTTAATCTTTAAAAATTTAAAGAAAATTATAAACAAATATTCATATCATATTGAAAATTAACTTTTTTTATTTAATAAATAAGTCTTTTCTAACTAAATGCAGTGACGATGAATGGTCGTTATGTTCGTCGAAAAAATTGTCAAGTTTTAAACTTGATTCATGAAAACAGAAGCTAGAATGAAATTCTTTAATTTTATTTATCAATTACCATAGCCTTTTTTTAAAAGTAAAATGAGTCTCATTAAAAATCCTTCCTAATCAACATAAGGTGTTGAACCTACGAGAGGAAAGAATACCCAACTACATATATCAAATAAATCGTACATCGTTTACCACCTCCGAAGAGATAATATCAGGACAAACCAAATCCAAAAATAATGGAGACAAAGATATACAAGCTCATTTGGCCAAAGTATCTTCTACAAAATTATAAGATCGTTGAATAAAAGAAACGTGAAAACTAGGACAAGCCTGGAAATGTTCCTTCGCTAGTTGAAGAATACTAGTCAAGGTAGAGAAATCTTCATCATCACGAAGCGGTTTGTTTACCAAAAGAGCACAATCAAATTAAAAAAATATATATTTTCCCATCCGTTATCACAAGCCAAGCATAAAGCAACACTAAAAACATGAATCTCAGCTAATTCCGAATCACTAACATTGCACATAGCCTGAACTAAATCACCAAGACTCTTTCCTAGTGGTCACGAGCCATAACTCTAACAATAATATAATCAGAACTCGAGTCAAAGAAACCATCCAAATTAATTCTCATCACATCGAAAATTGAAAGACACCAATGGAGAGAGGATGCAGCATTCACGATTCATTTTATTGAGTATCAATTTAACTTACTCAATTTAACACGGTTCCAATAATATCAATACTCTGAGTAAATTTTTATTTGGATACTAATATTTAATATCATTTATCGTAGGAAATCTTTTTCCAACACTTCTATTTATTTTACCAGTAATCCTAATAATTAGAAATCAATTAGATTTTTTTTCATCTTTCCTTATAAACACCTGGAAGCATTCATTGATTTATTTTAGTTTTATTTCTAAATATTCTAATATTGTGGAGATTATTTTTATGTTTGATCATTTTAATTGTGTTTTTATTAATATGAGGTAAATACAAAATAATATTTATTTAAAGATGACTCTCAACTATTTGACATTAGTTCATAACTCTTACATTCTCGATGCTCAAACTCAAAACCTCAAATAATAACAATAATTTTTTAACACTTAAGTCGATTGGTTCGTGCTATTTGAATTACTCTTTAAAAAGGTTTGGGTCTTAAGCTTTGAATAATTTAGTAATCACTAGTACCTAATCTATTGACTGATTAATCCAGATTAGGAACTGCAAAGGTGAGGACAACCCTCCTAACTTAGTGTTTGTTCCATTCACAAATGTTAAGGTTTGAACCCTTGACATTACTTAAGGAATATAAAACCTCATCTCACTAGACCAACAGATTGTTGGTAAATTTCTCATATATTAATTATTCATGATGTAAATTTTTTTAAATACCTTTCTCAACAATTTTTTAAGAATATTATATAGGGTAAGTGCCAAGGAGAATTTTATATTAATTTTGAAAATCGTTTTTTTGAAAGTGTGGTAGAAAAGAACTTTTAAAATATAGTTTAAAATTTAAAGGATTAAAATTATATTGAAAGTGATTTTGAAAATATAAAATATTATATTATAAATAAAAATATAACATTTAAATTATATTTTCATTTATTAATACTATAAAATATAAAATATATCAACTTAAACTACATTAAAAATATAAGAAAATATTTTAGTATAATTTATTAATAATATTTTTATATTTAAAATATTTTATTAAGATAAAATATATTATCAGTAATTTTTAATATTTAAATTTTAAAATAATATTTAAATTATTTTAATTTAACAACAATTAAAATTTAAAATAAAATAATTTAAACAATATATTTATCTTTGTAACCATTAAAAAATAAAAATAAAATATATATTATAAATAAATTTAAAATAAATTATTATTATTATTATATAGGGATAGGCATGGGTCGGGTTGGGTTAGATTTTTTGTCCACCCGACCCGAGAACAATGACTTATCACCCCAAAATTCAACATGACTCACATAATATATACCCTCCACCCGACCCGACCCTACCTGACTTTTTGAAATAAAATCCGAACCCAACCCGACTTGACCTTAAATAATAATAAAATATTATTTTTATTTAATAAAAACATTGATTTAATTGAAAAAAAAAATATATAGAGGGGGTATTATTGTAATTATTCTTAAATATATAAGGTAAAATTATATTTTTTCCAGATCGGGTCGGGTATTTTTCACCCTAAACCTGAATCCGACTCGACCTGAACACCACTTTTAAAAAATTCCGACCGACCCGAATCCGATCGGGTTTGGGTCCTATGTCCATCCCTATTATTATATATGAAATATATTAATTTAAACTATAATAAAAAATAGAAATATAATTGTAATAAAAATATATTTTATAATAACTTACAATTAATATTTTAATATACAAATCATAAATTTTATTTACTTTTGAATAATTAAAATAAATTATTTTCAAAGATATTAGTATTAAATTATTGAAACAAATGTAAATACATAATTAATAAATTAAATTGAATGTCAAAGTTATTTTCCATGACAAATGAGTGAAATCCTTGCATTGGTAAGAGTAAAAATATAAATTTGTTTCTAAATGTAAAGATGGAAATGAAACATATAAAAATCCTAACTTTTATGGTTGATTTGAAATCACTATTTTCACTAATTTTTAATTTTTATCCGTTTAACATTAATTTTACGGTCAAACCCCATTTTTTTTAATTAAAATTACTTATAAACATCATTACCAAACGGACCACTATTAAGTGATTGTTGACCCAACATTTAAAAAAAAATCCATATTAACATAATAAATTAGAATATTAGTTTTAGAAAAATATCAGCTAACATGTAAAATGTTAATCAGAATAGTATTATTTATTTGTACTGATTAAAAAATTATATATAAATGGAAGTCCCAAAATCTCGACCTTAAGTGTAATAGAGAAACAAAATCAAGAATTTAATTATTTCAAGTAATGAAATGTAATCTTTCACTAAAAGATATTCAAATCTTGAAAAGAATCAAACTGTTGCTCTAAATTAGAGGATTCTAATGCCCATTAATGGACAAGTCCATACCTTAAATATTTACAGATTATTTTCAGAATTAGAGGGCATTAATGGAGGATTATCATACCATTTGTCATTTCAGAGTGTTTTAATCACTATAAATATCTTAAAGCTAACAATAGCATTGCATTGTAGGCTTAATTTTTCACTCCAGAAATGATTTTATCCTTTAATTTTCTCAATTCTAAAGTGTTGCTCATCTTTTCTGTGACATTATTATTTCGACCCCATTTCTCATTTGCTACTTCAAATCCCACTGGCCTGACCTTAAGGTTCGATGTGGATGATTCTCCAGGTTCTCCTATGTATCGTATTCAAAATCTGAGCATAGATGAAAGAATAGACAGATTGATCCACGTTTCCAATGCTAGAGCCAATTATTTGAATCTAATTTCGAATTCGGATACAACGATACTTCCCGATAATATTCGAATACCATTATTACGAGAGTCTTCATGGTATGCCGTAGAGTTTACGATAGGAAGCCAAGGCCAACGAGTGAAGTTGCTGATGGACACCGGAGGTGGTTTAATATGGACGCAATGCCAGCCTTGCTTGAATTATTTCCCTCAAAAGCTTCCGATTTATGATCCTCGAGTATCTACCACTTATGCTACACTTCCTTGTGAACATCGTCTCTGCAAGACCCCGGGTAAAAACCTCAATTGTGTAGACGGCTTATGTCGTTACGCTGTTAGCTACGGCGGTGGCACCTCCACTAAGGGCGTTTTATCTACTGAAACATTCCATTTCTTAATTGACAAAACCAATACAAGGGATTTTAATGTCGTGTTCGGTTGCTCTAACGATACCACTAAAGTTTCTTTTCAGAACACTGAGATTTCAGGTATATTTGGAGTAAGCATCTCCCCGGATTCGATGGCGAGACAGTTTTCGACCGAAACTAACTCTCGATTCTCCTACTGCTTTGCCCCTTTTGACGGTGCAGTACCCCCTCCACTTGTTCTAAGGTTCGGAGAAGACATTCCGAAGTTCCCTGCGGGACACCTTCAATCAACATTGGTCTTGCAACCTCCGCCGTACAGATATTTTTACTACTTGCAATTGTTGGATATAAGTGTTGGCAATTATCGTATCGGATTTCCACCGTCAACTTTTCAGTTCAGGGCAGGCGGGGCCGGTGGTTGTTTCATAGACTCAGGAGCTATGTACACTTTCATCGATGCCGGCACAATCGGAGTGAATGCATACGAGAGAGTAATGTCAACATTTATTGCTTATTATGGGTCGAAAGGTCTTCAAAGGCGGCCCGGACGATCATTCGAAGTTTGTTATGTAAACCGGATTGGTTTCAATGAATTTGCATCTTTAACATTCCATTTCAATGGAGCCGATTACACGGTTGATGGAGGATACGTGAATGTGTTCAAGCAAGGGTATTTCTGCGTTGGAATACTAAAGGGTCCCTCCAAAACTGTACTTGGAGCATGGCATCAGCAAAATAAACGTATCATTCATGATGAATTATTCGGTGAACTTCAATTTGCTGATGAAAATTGTGCCAATGATGTTGCATGATTGTTTAATGTGTTTGTTTCTTTTAATATATAAATAATACAAATTGACATCTCTCTTTGTCAAATGACCAAATCAAAGAAGAAAACATATTCATTCAATTCACCGCCTTCTAATTTCAATTGTCGGCGATGATCAAATTTCCTCCAAATAACAGAAGGAAGAAAGTGCGTCCATAAATTCTTTATCGTACCCTGCTGACTTGTGTTCCAAGTATCACCAAATCTTGCTTTCCAAGTCAATGTGATAATGACACTATTTGACTATAGGAACTGAAGTTAGATTTGAGTCATTGTTTAGGAGTTGATGGATTTAAATCAATTTCAAGACATGTTTGGTACGGATCATACCGAATTCCTCAATATCATGTAAATGGTTTTGTCCTCAATTAATTATATATATATATAATATTTTGCGTCAATCACTTTTGTGATAATATAAATTGATTCTTAAATCAATCAATAATTAAACTGCAACAGGTTACTAAAAGGGAATATACATTTACTTAAGATATAATAGAAAGATTAGTCCTAAAGGTTCACTAATTTTTTAAATTACTTTAGTCTTTAAAAAATAAAAAAAAATAATATCAATCAATAATTGACACGTAAAATCATATTTAAAAAAGATAATTTTTTATTTTATTTATGAGTCTTTCCTAACCGAATGCAATGACCATGAATGATGACTGTGTCCGTTGAAAAAAACCTGTCAAGGTTTGAACTTGATTCTATTGAAAAAAGACGGGTATGTATAAGAATACCTCTTTTCCTCTTTGATTATCCATTTGTTTTTCAAAGCACGTCTTCCTTTTGGTAACTCCACAATATCACAAGTTTGGTTCTCATGCAAAGATTGCATTTCTTCTTGAATAGCTTTAATCATTCTTCATTATAGTCATGTTTCATTGTTTCATCAAAACTCCAAAGCTCCCCCTTATTGACGACTGTCACATACTCACTTGAAGAATACTTATTTAAGGGTCTTCTTTCACACATTGATCTCCTCAATTCTGGTTGAGGTGTAACTTCTGATTCAATTGTCCCAATAGATTGATCTTCATTTGTTTTTCTATTGATGACTCATCCGTCGATGACTCATTATTTTCATCTTGATTTTCAACAATTTTTTTCTTTAGTAGTTCACGTCTTATCACTGACACCGGATCTTGAACAATTTGAGTAAGGACTTTAGACACATGACTCTGAGATTGATTAGTGTTTTCAATGGTCTGATCCTCGAAAAGCACAACATCTTAGCTTCTAACAATCCATTTGTTTATCATCCTATAATCGATAACTAAATTCATCTTGAGGCGTGTCAAGGTACATGCATTGCTTTGTTTTTGCATCAAGTTTGAATCGTTCGTCCTTAGGAATATGGATGATGGCAAGACAACAAAACACCTTAAAGTGTTAATATGAAATCTTCTTTCTCGTCCATACCTACTTTGAGATTTCTCCATCCAAAGTGCTAAAAGGAGAATGATTGACAAGCATGATAGCCTTCTTCATTACTTCTCCCAAAATGATTTCGACAATTTAACATTTGAAAGTATACTTCGAACTCTTTCTTCAATTGTTTAGTTCATTCTCACGGCAATACCATCCTTGGCCATAGTGCATGTGTCATCTCCCTGCTCTTTCCCCGAATCTCAATAGTTTGGACCACATCATCATTCTTGGTTACATGAGTCTGGGGCGACGTGCGAGCAATAACTCCACCGTCAATCAAGCATGTCAACAGCTCTTCCAATCCCTTTGGCAACTGAACCAGCTCTATCAAGATCTGCTCTAACTCTGACCTTCTTTGATCTACATTGGGAACTAGACCGTCCCCACTGAGGTTTTCCTCCAGCCATTCACCAACGGAATTACGAAATCCATCCTCATGCTGAGGAGAAATAGATATCATTTCTTCCCCACTCAGCTTAATACTGATATGGTATGGCTTGCTTTTACACACGACTTCGATCGACTCAAGGACCTCTTCCTAGGAAGCAACGCGAATGTAGAATGAAGCAATATCTATTCTTTCGTTGTTCTTCATGTCTTCATGCAATACAACAAATTTTACCCATCTATTTTCTAAAGCTTCGAAGAAATTTTGATTCCAGCACAACAATGGGACACCCCTAAGGGAGACCGAAAACAACATATAAGGAATATCCTTCTCCATAAATAATGGCTCAAGAATAGAAAACCAGAAACCTATCTCTTTTTAATGGCCAGAATGTTTCAAAGAGTTGTTTGGAATCAATGATAATTAGGAGTGATTCACATTCGGAGTCCCATTTCACAACTCTAACCGAAAAACCTTCACTTCGAAGATCATTTTGGACTAGCTCTCTGTCAAATAGATTTTTTATAATTCCAACCAGGCTGTATTTGGTCCAGGAAATCTCATCAATTGGGATATGTATATCCGTAAGGTTGATACACTTCCTCCACGCCAAGACCTTGTCTTTTGATCTTCTTCCACATCAATTCTGGTATCTGGTACTTTAGATTTTCTTAGAAGTACAGATTTTTTGGTTCTGTCATCCCTCATCTGATCCTGGAAGCTTATCTTTTTCAAACGTCTGAATTTCTATGATGTTCCTACTCCTACGGGTGGTTTCTCTGAAGTCTTCTGATTTTTCGTATCCAGAATAGGTGAAAGTTGCTTATGAGTGGATGGGGAAGGAAATCTTGCCTTGGAGACGTAAATCAAGTGCCCATCTACTTTTGAATTATTCAGTTTTGAGATTGAAAGTTCTAGCTCACCTAGAGAAGAAAATCGTACCAAAGTGACAAGCGTCGTGAACTGTCAAATAAATTTCTTTTCTCAAAATAAATAAAGTACATAGAAATGAGAGTAGTAAAGAGAAGAAAAGAATCGATACGTAGGGATTTAGAAATTCCTGATATTGAGCTAGGTTGATTCTGAACTAAGTAAACTGTAACAAAAGAAAAATAAACAAGGGGGGTTTGCTGGAATATGAACTAAATAAAATCAATAAAAGTAACAAAAGAATTAAAATAAAATGATGAAAACAATTATAGAGAAAATAGCCTTAAGCTTAGCTTTGACTCAATTCACTTTGATAATCGAAATGGATTTAACTTCGGGATTCATGCCGGTTACAGCCTACAAGACCCAACCCTTGTAACTTGCTTTTCTCTTTAGTAAACTGATATTCCCAAATCAACTTCCAAAATTTGGTCCTTGAATGAACTAACTACAACTATCGTTGCTAGAACAAATCATATTAAGTTTTGGAAAAGCCTGACTCGGATAATGTTATCTCAAGGAGAATCAAATCTGATCTCAATTTCCCTTAGTGGAACGCCGCTAAGTGTGCTCACAGGAAGTGAAATATGCCACAGCCCGATCCTTCTTCCCAACTTTAAATCAGAACAACATCCAGACCAACGTCGACTTTTTGATATGAAAGTATTTTGATTTTTAAAGGAAAGGTCGATTGCCAATCCTAGTTTGCAGAAAACTGAGAATGTAACCTAAAGGGTATTACATGCTTTTCAATTCTCACATTTGAAATTGAGTCATCGCTAGCTATTGGCTAAATAAGAAAATTAGCTAAGCATGTGATAGAAATCATACTTAGCATATTTTTATGAAAATGGTAAAAATGTAAGTAAAGAAAGCAAAGAAAGAAAAAGGAAACCTTTTATGAAAATGAAAATAAAATAACAAAAGTTAATTTGAGTTATTCTAGTCATATCCTAAGAGGTGTAACACTCATTTCCCGTATAAGTCCCGGTACAAAAGCCGTAGATGTCACATAACTTTTAAAACATTTTCATATTTAAAAATTAGTAAAAATTTTGTTTCTTTAAATAAAACAATTTAATTTTATAATATTAAAAACATCCATTAACTACTAATATGTAAAATATCGTTTAAGTCTATCACGTAGTAGTTTAAGTTCAAATATAATATAACGCTACAACCATATATCAAATACCATACCAGAGCATCATAATATAACTAATACATGCCAACTAGTAATATTAAAATAAACATCAAAATATGTCATATTGTTACTGATGAGGCAGTCTTTGACAGTTGACATCAGCTACACTCCTTACTCTGATCTTACGATATTACCTATGCGTGAAATAATCACACACTAAGTATTACTTAGTGAGGCATAATAAAGTAAGACATTTTAAAACATAGGTATATCAATAAAGATCAAATACAATTTGAAACCATATATAATATATAAACACTTCTATAATTCACTCTTAGTTCTCGTAACTGTTTACTCCCTTTTAGGAGTGTAAATGAATCGAGCTTGAATGAATAAGGTTCTGTTCATGTTTGTTTATTTATTTTTAAAGGTGTTCATGTTCGGTTCATGATAAGTGCTTAATTTAGTTAATATTTTCCTTTTAAATTACTCATTGGTTTTTGTGGCTTAATTGTTTGTTTTGATTCATTTTCTGTACAGGACGTTAGATTCTAGAAATTGCACAAAAAGGACAGAATTCTGCAGTTTTTTTATTTTCGGAATCAAAGCTGGCTGGAATTCGGATTTGAATTAAACTCAAGTTTAGGATAATATTTTAAACATTATATTTTATCTTTGTATTTTAGTTAAAATAGGTTTTAGTATTTTAATTAAGTTTTAGGATATTATTTTTATATTTCATCTTTGTTTTAGGTATTTTAGTTTAAATAGTTTTTCGTATTTTAATTAGGATTTAGAATATTATTTTAAATATTATTTTTTAGGTATTTTAGTAAGTGTTTTAATTAAGATTTAAGGTGTTTTAGCTTGTTTTTAGGAATTTGAAGGCTATAAATACCCTCTTATGGTAGCCTATAAACATATCTCTCTCATCTAAGAATAAAATCTTCTTTTTTCTCTCTAGCTTTCTATCTATTTTTCGCATACTTTTCAATTATGCTAAGTATAACATTGGTCATGCTTAGCTAATTTTCTTTCAAGCGGAAGACTAAAGCGAATGCTCAATTCCAAACGTGAGAATTGTAAG